CCGATGCCGACTAAGTGGGATGTCTCATTGAGACACGTTGCGTATGCAACGTTCTCATGCCTCTTGTGTCGCGGCACGAGGTGATGTCGGCCGCGTACGTATGTTCATGTACGTATGTACATGGATTGTGCGGTTTTGAGCTTAGGCTCAAATATCGGCTGATTGAGGTCACGCTCTGCTTCGACAAATGGTTCGACTCGGATCGGTTGGAGGAGGATCGATCGTCTTGGAATCGTCGCTAATGAGTCCCTTCTCTTGTACCGTCAGCAATATATGTATCGCATTGAGAGTTGACTGGATTAATTAGGCCCGATTTTCGCTCGCTAGAGAGGTTGACCTCCCATTTTTTAAGTTGTATATGTTGTTGGCACTTAATAAATGGGGATCTTCATTCTCGAAGCGTCTGCCCTGCCTTTTGATATCGCCTGTGGTATAGCACCCTTGTGTCTCAACTGAAATCGTACCTAATCAAATTCAAATCAACCTGAGATGCGAACATGCGCGGACAAGAGTCGAGTGAACCTTATTATCGTAGATCTCATACGATCGAATCAATCTTCTTCCGTTTTGGGCTTAACCCTTGCTCGAAGGTAACGTTGAATTCCCGAGTTGTCGGCTCGTCGTATGATTCTCGCGCAAATGGGATATTTCGCGATCGCGAAATTCGGAAAATTTGCCGAGTAAAACGTCGCACGTTTTAGTGCGGGAGTGTCGTTCAAAATATCGCGCGTGTAATCAACGGACTCTGACAACGGACAATCCTGATCAACCTGAGAGGAGAAGGAGGTCTAGGAGAGGCATCGGGCGTCATCGGAGCAATGTTGGGGTGAGAATTCATTATTTGTTTATTAATTGTAATAAATCAAAAAATTATGAGTTGCATCAAATAAAAAAAAAATTTAAATTAAATAATTATATATTTTTTGTATATAATTATATATTTTGTAGACATGCTACTATAAGTTGGATATCATTTATATGTTGCAGATTAATCTAGAGAGACAATCTAGACAACCAGAGAGGAGGAGGAGGTCTGAGAGACGCATCGGGCGCCGGCGGAGCAACCCAGGGGTGAGCATTTATTATTTATTAATTAATTGTTTTGAATCAAAATTTATAAAATTATTTAAATAAATTTCTGTTTATTATCGTACGCTTGGAATATAAAATCAAAGGGTACAATAATAATGGTACAATTATTATATAATTATTGCGAGCGTCGCTATAATTTCGATTATTAATTATGTATTGTATTTGTTTGTTATAGATCTTCGAAGCTTCGATGCAGTTAACTCCGCTGTGCGCATCGGGTGGTGAGTGAATTACATTTTATTACGAGGTAACGGTTTTGTAGTGAGTTGATTGTAGATTTGGATTTTAGATAGACTGTAGATTGTAGTTAGTTCCGTTACCTCAAAATGGATGAATGGATTACAACAGATTAGATTAATATTTCACTTTAAAATGAACAGGAAACATTTTATAATATATAGATTTAAACGAATTTATTTTATAAACACACTAATGATTATAAATTCTTTAAGTGATTATATAATCATTAATAATTTAATTTTATATAGATACATTTAATTCTAATTTTTTGTAATCCGTTTCATATAGATTGGTAACTTGGCTCTACATTAGTTGAAGCGATATATTGTAAAATAACGTGTATGTGCCAAAAGATATTTTGTGGATATTTTATCGCGACTGAAAAAGAACAAAAAGAGATAATGATTTACAATTTGCAGATTAATTTACGATAATATGTTAAATTTTCTATAATGCGAATTATACGCGTCAGATTATAAATTATTTTTTATTAATTAACAATAATTACAAATTTATATAAACATAATTAATTATATTTTTTTATAGTT